TTTTGCTAAACAGCCTTGATTGCACAGGTGCAGTGGCAGGCATCTGAAATCCCAGCCTTCAGGAGGCTGATGTCAAAGGATCAAAAGTTCAAGGACAGTCTAGGTCACACTGAGACATTCTCAAAGTTGAGATATCTTTTATTCTTACAATTATTTCTCATTTTCACTTAGTGTTTTGTTATTATTCATTTTTTTATTACTTCCTATCCTGTTCATTTTTTCCAATATTGGTCTGTTTCACTGATTATTGGTGGTACTTTAATGAAATGTTTTGTTACATGTATTTTAAAAGCTGCTTATTTAACTGTTTTTTAAAGTTTGACATTAAATAGTAAAATTATCATCTAATTATATTTATAAATTCATGATTTACTATTGAACAAGAGATTATGTAAAAATAATTTTGCATCAAATACAAATATCTAAAAAGAGGGCCTGGACCCCACAGCAATGTCCTGCAGGAGTCTAGCTGGAAGCCCAGAGCACATGGCACTGTCCTCCACAATTCCAGTTGGAGACCAACAACCCAAGACAATGTCTCATTAAATCTGTATCAAGGATCTACAATGGGAAGCTTCAATGGTCGGCGGTGGAAGCTAGAAAGTCTGCACCAGTGGGATGAAGGATCTGTATCAGCAGGCTGAGAGATCTGCACTGGAGCCAGGAAGCAACGTTCAAGGTATGGACCAGAGCTACCATGAAGAGAACCACAGCTATCCTCAGTGACAAGGAAGACCCAAGCCTCTCCAACAATGAGAACAGGTGAGTGACAACTAATGTGACAAGCTTCTCTAAGAGAATCAACAGAATACTATCTTCCCCTCCAGTTTTCATGTTGCTGGCAACAATCCTTAGCTGGACCTTCTACAGCTCTGATTCAGTTCAGTTGGGTGTTACAAGTTGACCATTAGTAAATCCATCACAGTGTCAAACAACAGTGTGTATTTTTCCAGCCTGTGTTACATCATGTTTGTCATTATTCCATTGACTGATTAAGGTCATGTGATCAAGTTTATTTTCAAAGGCTGGGGAAATGAACCCTGCCTCTTAGCAGGAGTAGACAATTGATGGAAAAAATTGTGGCAACAATCCATTGCCATATCATTACACACCAAAACCATGCAACTGAGAAACTACTACCTTCCCACTGATAGTTGAAATTAAACTGACAGTACCATGTTGCAAGAATGGGAATCAAATGAAATTTTCATTCACAGATTACAGATGAATAAATTGTTTCAATCCATTGGAGGACTATTTTGCAGTATCTACAGAAATCTGACTTTAGATTTATACTAAAGGAATACATATTTCCACAACAAGACTTGTCCAAAAATATTCACACTTTTTTCATAACAGCAAAATATGTAAAGAACTCAAATGTCCATAAAGAGAATGGAATTTTTAAATTTCAGCATATTCTGACCATGGGCTATTCATGGCAACTAAGGAGAATAAGCTACTGATAAAAAGCAAAAATCTTAATCACAGACATTGTGTTCAATAAAGCTGCAATCCTTCTGTTTTTCTGTCACTGAACTCAGCTAAATCATGTTATCAAATTAAATCTTCTGTGAATGTGCTAAAAATAAGTTTGCTACACATAGCAGTGCTCACCATGAGATACCCATTATACCCTGGCCTTCAGCTGTGCTTATCCTAGCACACCTGTGCAATGTTCTTTCCCAGAATCAGTATCTTATAATACTTATCCTGGCCAGGACTGTGCAAAGGGCTTCCTGGTGGGAGATGGAGGGTTTTTAATAGTGCACATTATCAAGCTAAACAAAGAAAAAAATAGATTTTTTTTAAGGAAGGGGTAATTTTGTCTCGCAAGTAGCAAGTAGGCCAATAAATACTTAAAATTCAGTAATACCAAAACTACATACTCTTCTCACTTTGTAATTAAATTTGAAACCAACAACAAAAGGCAATTAAGAAATCACCATGTAACACACAACTTTCTAGAAAGAAAATATTCTAAACCTGGAAAAGGGTATTAGTAATATATAAGTATACATCTGTTAAACATATCCAACTGCACAGTTATGATAATCTGAGGATGCACAAGTCCCTTAGTAAAATGGAAAAAGAACTGGCATTTCATTTATGGACATCTTGCTTTCTCTAGGTGACTAACACCTAATACAATGTAAATTCTATGTAAATAGTTGTTATACTATAATTATTTAGGAAATAATGACAAGAAGAAAAGTAAGTGTTCAGTACAGATGCAACCTTTGATATTTTCAATATAAAATTGGTTCAATCCACAGATATGGAACCTGCATATTCATGGATTGGACTGTACATGGAAACAAAAGGTGCAGGTCGACAAGTAGTTAACAGACAATGGCAGCCCACGATGTTTACATCTGTACAGACCACAAGTCAACCAGCCAAGAGCTCAGTGGAGAATATGACACCAACTAACGCAAGCCACCTGGCTGTCTCACAGGTGTGGGTCCACTTGTGCAGCAAGTGATGGACTGTGCCTGAAGGCTCTGTTCACACTGACTGCACAGACAGGGGCTCACTACCACATGGGCTCTCAGGTGGATGATGAGGTGTGAAGACATGCCAAAGGCCCACCTGCATTCCTGACAACCATAGGCTTTCCCCCAGAGTGAGTTCACATGTGACCCTTCAGGGTGGAGAGGTGACTCCAGATCTGCCCCCAGGTCCTACACTTGTACAGCTTCTCCCCAGTGTGGGTTCTCTTGTGCACATTCAGGTGCATGGTATGGAAGGGCCTCTTGCACCCTGATGTGGGTGCACAGTGAGCATTCCTTAAATGCTTTTTTGCCGTTGCTGCATTCAAAGGGCTTCTCTTCAATGTAGCCCTTAGGTGCTGCCACAGACCGGAGGAATAGTGAAGGCTTGCCCGCACTCCTGGCCCTCTCAGAACTTCTCTGTGGTGTGTGTTTTTTGTGCCTCATAAGCTAACAATGTAGTGAAAGCACATTTCACGCTGGTTGCATGCAATTTTTATTCATGCTGTGGATGTTTTCAGGCCTGATTAGAGCATCATGAAATAAGGATTTTCTGCTCTTATTTTTCACAGGAGCCTCTGCAGCATGAACTTCCCGTACTGACAAAATGATTTCATGCTACCAAATGGCTTCCCCAGTTTGTTGTATATGTAGTTTTTCTCTAAACTGGAGTTGTTCAGGCTTTATTATATCCAGTGATATTCTCTGCATCACCTGTATTTAGACAAAGGACATTACTGTATCTGAAACTTTCACCATTTCATTGAATATCATTTTTACCCAAAGATCCCTTTCATTGAACAAGGTGGAATCTGCCACAATGACTGCTCTTTCACGGGGTTCCTTGGAAAACTCTTCTGAGTTAAAGCCAATTTAAATTACAAATGCTCAGTAGCTGAAATTAATTTATGAAAATGGGTACTTGTGAGGAGGATGTGAAGCTATACTATGTTTTTTATTTTTTAATTACTGGGGCTAGAACCTCCACACCAGGCATATGCTATGCAAGTGCTTGGCCACTGGGCTAAACTCTAGCCCCAAGATACAAGCCTTGACTTAACATTTAGAGTTTTCCACCAGTTCACAACAGTCACAGACTGTCTCTTAAGAAACCACTTTCTTGGGGCTGGTGGCTAGCTCAGCGGCATAGGTGCGTGCCTTGCAAGCGTGTGGTTGTGAGTTCAATCCCTGGTACAGGTATAAAAAAAAAAATCACTTTCTCCTTGCTAAGCACCATTTGCTACAAATCTCTCTTAATTCTTGTGTAGTTTTTGTAACCAACAGCAACCCCAGATTTTTCCTATTATACAGGAATGGGAATAATCCCTTGTGAATCTTACGTTTTTCATGCCAATGGATGGAATCTCTGCAAAAAATATATTGGCTTGGAATTGACTCGAGGTTAAAACTGTGGTTCTGAAATGAAAAGAACAAAGGCACAGAGAATTACAGGATAGATATTACCAAAAAAAGTAAGCAAGGCACATGTAAAATGTTTTCAAGCACTTATCACAAATGTAAGAAATTGCAAAGTAGAGGAATATATCAGAGAGTAAAGCAAAATATTAAGGTTTTGATTTGTGAAGGAAGTTCTTAAATTATAAGAACAAAGGATGGAAATTATAGTAAATGATTTGTTGCGATATGATTAGATGAAGGTTGACAGGGAAGGAAAATACTAGCAAGAACGTAGAGTAGGGAGGGGCTAGATAAAATATACACATGAAAATATTACATATAAAGAGAGACAAGACAAATATATTCATGAAATCACAGTACAGCATTAAGACATAAGAAGCAAAGAGGAGCTGAGTGATACATGCCTATGATCCTAGCAGTTGATCTAGGGGCTGACGCAGAACTGCTGCAAATTCAAGGTGAGCCTGGGTGACCAAGTGATTGCCAGGCCCTCCTTCACTATATAATGAGACCCTATCTCAAAAAACCAAACCAAAATCAAAACCAAAATCAATGTTACAGCAGAGGCAAATGCAAGAAATCACTCACAGAGGCAGAGAGCAGTTACAAACAAGCTTTAACAGCCAGCAGACAGCATCTAGCAAGCTACTGGGACATCAACCCCAAGGGACAATTGAGTGTTTATACAGTTTCAGTTCCTGGCATAAAGGCCAAGGATATGTTATCTTGGAGTCTAGCTGGCAGAATGGTTGCTTTCCATCAGAGGTGGAAGGTGGTGTAACTAATCATCTTACAACAACTCAGGGCGAAGCAAGCGTGAGGTTTCACGGTTTGGCCTGCAAGGTTATTTTTGAAAAAACAATTGCAAGAACAGAATCTTACAATCTTTTTATAGCTAAAATGTCTGAAACCTAAAGTGGCGTTGGTCTAGCTCATTTCCATATTAGCAGCAAATGTGGAAAGGTGGGACTTATAAAGGGAGCTCAGTCTTCTTGGTCAAGGGCACTGAAAAAATGTTTCCCTATAAACAGTTGCTGAGTCTGAGGCTTTTTCAGCCTGTCAGTGCTCACCTGTCTTCCTGGAACTCACCTGACCAGAGTCCTTGGATGACTTCTCTCTTGATGGTCCACAGCTCTTCTCTTTGCTACAAATGGGAAACTGCTGGGTTTGCACAGTTGATCTGTTCGGAGGAAAAAGACACATGGTATGTGCCCACCACGACAGGGCCCACGTTCTCAGGTCTTTAGGGACCCTGGATATGGGAACAACTGCCTGAATTCTTTTTTTTTTTTTTTTTTTTTTAAAGAAACATGATTTATTGGAGTACAGGATCCAAAACACGTTTTTACAAAAATATAAAGTGCCCAAATACCAACTGACACAGGTGATACAGGCTTCCTGGAGCCAAATGAAGCATTCATGAAGAAACACATTTAAAAACAGTCAGTCTAAATACATATTTACAGCTGGGTCAGTAAAGGTAAAACCATTGTTCTTGGCTTTGATGTTATTCTAAGAAAAAAGGAAATCAAACCAGAAAACCAACAATTGTAACTCTCAGCATGCTCCACAGTTTCTTAGTAATGCATCTCAATGTTAATCCCATATTATCTAATTTTTAACTTTAAATGAGAGTAGTGTAAAATCCCCACAACCTCAGGCAGGCTAGGTGTCGTGAGTGGTCACATTATCAAATGCAAATTCAAGTTACCTGATTTTGGATTTGAATGATAAACAACATGGACACTGGATGGGAGCTAATTAGAGCCAGAAGGAGCTGGCTGCCGAATCTCTGTCTCTAATAATTGCCTAATGACCTTCATTTGCTATTAAGTGGTCTCAGGTGACTTCCTCAAACCTTGGTCATCCTTGGTTTCCAAAGGATAGACAAGCAGCAGCCATTCAGCATGGTGTGGGAATACTGCATGCAATGACAGGCGGCCGGGAGGGGAGGCTGGATCGCAGTCCCCTGAAGCCTGATTCACTAGAGCGACTGTGAGTGTTTTAAATGCAGACTGCAAGGTAACTAGTTCCTAATCCCAAAGTTGGCTTCTACTGGGTAATTACAAGACAGCCAGCTTGAGGACTGGCAGGCCGGAGTAGTGGGAGTTCCAGAGCTGCACAAAGGCTCGGCAGCTTCCCGCCTGACTGCTGGAGGAGCCAGGGGTCCGGAGGCCATCAGACTCCCCCGTGGGCACAGACACAGCTGTCCTGGTGCCTTCAGGGCACTGTGGCTTGAGAAGCCAGGCTACATGCATACCTCCTTGCCCAAGAGTCCAGCGCTCTGGACATAAAGACGTTTCTTTCACTCTACCCCGCCATTCAGAAGGGTCTGAAGGTGACTCTAGGGAATGACAAGGGGCATGGAACCTCTTCATTAGCTTCTGTTTTTATTTTGATTAGAAAAACAAAACCCTATTTTTTTGGCCTTTGGAGACCAGAAAGCATGATTTCTAACAGCAAATATTTCAACATGGGACTTGGGAGTCTACAAAACAGAAGCCATCACTGACTTAGAACTACTCGTGACACAGGAGCAGACTTTTAAAATTAAAAAAAAAAGTAGTCATTTCAGGAAAGGAACAGTAAATGTGGGAAAGTCCACTCATAAAGGCCATTATTATGCATTTTCTCAAAGAATCTCATGTAGTAAAATAGAAAGCTCATGATTTGTAGAAATGTGCACACATCCAAGAGAGGAATATGGAAGGGAAAACTGCCATTCTCTCAATTTAAATAAAAAAAAGATAAAACACTTGAAATCTGTGTTTCACGTATTAGCAAAAAAATAAATTCTAAAGATTCGAATTACCATTAGTTTGTTAATGTCTCCATCCGCAAGATGCTGCTGAGTTAGTGTACAACTTTACCTCTGAATACGCAACTAAATTCAGGGTAAAAAGACAAACAATCCTGACTGAGGACTGCACGCGTCCTATAGAGAAATCAGAGAGGAATTATTGCAAATGGATAAGCCCATCTGTCCAGCAAGTGACATGTTCTGAGACAAGTGGAGACAGATGTAAGGATGGATGAAGTGGGTAAAAAGAACACAGCATTGAGTGTGAGACCTCATGAAGACAGAATGTCACAAACTGTCACCACAGAACAAGCATACAAGCCATGCCACTGAACACAGTGCCTTTCAAGTGAATTCACTAGTGTAGGCGGAGAGCAACATTGTCTTTGCAGCTGGAGGAGAGCACACGTCATTTAAACTTAGGAGGAGGCAACCAGCACGACCGTGAGGTGGCTTTCCTGGTGGCGTGAATCCAGAGGGAGCGCGGACACATTTCCTTCTGGAATCCTGTTCTCTTGGAAGATAGCAGCAGCAGCAAAGGTACAATGTCCTCTACTAGACTTTACTCGTCTATGTTCTCTTTCTTTGCACTGTAAATATTCTGCACCGTTTCATAGACAAACTCCAGATCTTCTGGATACCGAATTTCTAGCTCAGCATTTGGGATGTAGTGAGTGCCTGTAAACTCTGAGAAATACCGTCCGACATCCGGGTGCGAGATTTCTTGAGGCTCCACATTATATTCCAAGTTTTCTTGGGCTGCGTATCTACAAGAACCATCCTCCACCAGCACATTGTAGAAAGGCTGATGGTGGCCGTGAGGCAGGCTGTGCACGTTCATGTTCCGGATCCACTCGTGACCCATCATGCAGGTGTGGTCCCAGCCGTAGATCACACAGTTATAGCCATACCTCTTATGCTTCATTATGAGCCCGATGGAGTAGCAGACATCCCTGTGCTTCTCATCAGAGCGCAGCTTAGCCTCCACGAATACCTCCTCCTTTTTACACTCAATGTGCTCAAGCGTGTGCTGCACCAAGTAGCCCACCGCCCTGTGCTGCCCAGGTTCGAGGGTTTGGATGTGCTAGAGGATGTCAAGCACCTTCACAACAAGACAGAAAGACTTCTCCGGCCAGATTCCCAGGTGGAAGTAGAGTCTGGCTTGGAGGAGCAGAAGCTGCACCTGGTCCGGGTACATCGCCAGGTACAGATCCAAGGAGTCTCTCAGGAGCTGGTATGACTGGTCGATGCCTTCCCGCTTCCCCAGGCTTAGCAGGTTTCCCACCATCCGCTGCAACACCTTCTTCACGTTGACCACCCCGTACAGCGTTGCGGTCACATGCTGGCCGATTAAGTACTCACACTCTTTCACCGTCAGCTGTTTGCCTTTCCCAAAAGCATCGATGTAGATGTAGTGGAAGACGTCCAGAGTTGCCCCTTCTGCGCCTTGGCACCACCTCAGCAAAAAGTGACTCGGGAAGTTGACAGGCTCCAGTGGGACTCCCAGCTGCCGAGCAATCGTCAAATACAGCAGTGACATACTGATTGGGATTCCTGTTCTGCGGATCAAAACCTGGTGCATATATAAATTCAGAGCATTATAGTAATCCATCCGATTCCCCTTGAACTTCAGCTGCTCATAAAGAACATAGTTCATGGCATCCAGCACCTGACTCTGGAGTTCTATTTCCATTATCATGGAGGATTCACCTGCCTTGAAGGCCAAACTGGGGTGGCAACTGTTCATGCCTTGGAGAGTTTTGCAAACAAGCTCCACGATGTTGTCAATCTGGGCCTGGATGTCTTTGATGCTGATGTCAGAGAGAGGGTTGCAGTTCTGATCGATATAGACAGCTCCTTCCAGATAGGATTCATAATCATCAGGCTGCTGAAGAAAAGCCTTGAGATTATTCAGAATTTTCTGTTGCCGTACGTAGTAAAGAATTTTTTTTGCATAGTATTTCCAGGACAGAGCTTTTCTTCCATGTTTAGGATACACACCAGCTCATCCTCAAAAAATATCTCTGGTCCCTCAAGGTTTTCAATGTCACTGAAGCCATTACAGGGAACGTGCTCTGAAAAGAACCTCTTTGAGAACGAGGCTACAATCCTGCGGGCTTCTAACCCAGCTTTCTGTAGAACTTTATATTCCTCCAACCCATTGACGTAGTCGGTGGGGCTGTAGTGTTTCATAAGGGAGGGCCACCTCACCCGGAACTGCTCCTTCCACACCTTCCTGCTGCTCTGGCACACCTTGCGCAGCCGCCGGCAGGCGCTGGAGACGCGGCCGAGGTCGGCGGCCGTCAGTGAGCCGCTGCACAGGATGTACTCCAGCACCTCGCCCGGCAGGCTGACGAGGCGGCTGGCCCGCCGCCTCGGTCGCGGCCTCCTCCACCAGTACCAGCACCACCATCTTGTCCGCGTACCTCAGGCCGCCGCCACCGTTGCCGCCACGGCGCATGCGCGCGCACTGCGGTGGGGCGCCCGCTTGGCCCCGCCCACCAGTTGTCCCTGAATTCTGATGGACACAGTAAAGCTCTTCCACTAGGACTAGATTCAATGGGATACAGAGAACACCACAACTATCCAGAATCCAGCGCTTGACTCTGAGTTACACTTTAGAAGCTCAGTTTTTAATTTTGGAAGGACAAAGAGTAGTCAACAGGCCTTCGTGTGAAGCCCTGTCATGCTGATGGATAAAAACCTCAACCAGAAGATAAACCAAACCTTCCTGTGAAGCAGGCTCTGCCAAGCTGATGGGTAAAAGCCTCCGCCAGAACAGAAACCACACTTTCCCATGAAGCAGGCTGGTTTGGGGGACTCAGGAGGAGATGACAGCAGCTGAGGGAAAGGGAATAGCTCAATGCTTGTATTGTCTGATTGACTCTGCAGGCCTCGGCTGGTGGTCTGGGCATCTACCTGGAGGATGCAGTGTGCACTGTGTCCACTGCAGGGGATTTCCTCCTGTCTTGTTCTTGAAATCCAATGTTTTGTTCCATTTTACTATTTAATTTTATTCCTGTATCTGGTAACATGAGCAACTATTTTGAAGATAACAGTGTGCAGTAATGTTATTTTGTGTTGTTCCACTTTACTATTTTGTTTTTATTCAATGTACATTTTGATTGGTTTTATTGTTTTGTTGTGTTTGATCTTGATATGTCTGATTACTGTGAAGATAGCAAAATACATTATGGTAGCCATTGTTGATTTCCTATTATCCTGTTTTGAAGTTCTGTGCCACTTTCACTGTTTTGCTTTGATTAGCTTTATTCTGTTTTGTTTTGTTGGGTCCTATTCTCTTTAAAATAAAATTTTAAAAAATATAGTTAAAAAAAAAAAAAAAAGTAGTGGACAGACTACCATATCCATGGGGAAGATACTGGGCTCTTGTATGTCCCAGGACTGCCCTCATCTGTCTTTTCATCTCTCGGTTTCCCATTCCTGCACAGTTACTGGAATTCATGGTGGCCTCCAGCATGTGTAGAGGAAGCAATGAGACAGCCTTATTCATGAAGCCCCTGTAGATTTTCAGCATATCTCTGTATATAATTCTTTCAGATGAATCGCAAAATACCATTCTTCTGGGCTAAACACCACAATCACATCTACAAATGTGATTGATTCCTGAAACACACACATTCTAGCTCAATACACTCACTAGCGAAGTACGAGGGCACAATGTAGCTAGCAGGCCTGGAGAAATGAGACCCCATGAAGAGGGTGCTTAGAGGCAGATCTGTAGTCTCCTAAATCTGGCTGTGGCTGAAATATCTGAATTAGATCTCTTAGGGCCTGCGAGTAGCTCAATGGCACGGTATGTGCCTGGCATACACAAAACCCTAGGTTCCTTCACAAATAAAAGTTAGAAAATTTCTCCATCTACTCACTATTCCCCAATAGACCTCTTGCCAGAAGACTTCTACTTCATGAAAGGAATCACTTACCTTCGACTAACCAGGAGGCCCTTCTGGGGTATATCCTCACCTAATTCCAAGGATCCAGAGCTGAGCACATTCCAGAGGAAAGAGAAATATGTGGTAATCCTGTGCCTAGTGAGACAATGAAGCCCAGGAAGCAAGGAGAGCTTATACTCTTCCCTTGTTTTCCCTCCTGGCTTTCAGAAGCCTGGGAAGGGTTTGAAGAAAAGACTGAGATCATTGCCTGGGCTGCCTCCACCTTGACCTCATGGGGGCCAGTCCTCAACAGGCTAGAAAGCAGCCATGTATGTATGTAGCATCAGAAAGGTCCAGGCAGGTCATGTAAAGGGGCAAGTCCAGCCTCTGGGCACAGCAGTGCTCTCTGCAGTCAAGGAGGATTTCTGACTTACCTGGGAATAGGTGCTTGGCAACCCAAGAGCTCTAGCGTCGTCTTCTCAGTCATCCTCTCGAAAACAGCTGGGGTCTTGAGCAAGCAGAGCTGGGGAAGAGAGGAGATGTGAGTAAATTCAGACAGGGAAGCTGCTCCTGGATCTGATGAGTTAAGGCCAAGATGAAGTTCAACATCCCACAGTTCACAGAATGGCTCCACCACCGACAATGACCCAGGAATTGTCAGGAATGCTCCAGGTGAGTAAACATGGGTTACGTTTGTCTGCTTCTTTGTTTGGAAATAAACAAAGAAATGTCATCATACTGCCCAGGCTGACATGAACTCCTGGGCTAACTGTAGGCTATGCATGGTCGAAGGTACTCCATTCATTATCTGCAGGCTTCTGTTCCCCTCAAAGGAACATTGCAGAATTCTCTACAACCCAGACTGCTCCAGCCCATGAAGGGCCATGCATGAGACACTGATGCAATTACAGGTCCGTGACACAGGAAGGGAAGAGTGAGGGAGGCCAGGGAGTCCACCAGTTCTGAGCAAATGGGACTATCTCAGGGTTGAGGTCAGGCTCTATGCCTGACTCCATCCAAAACCTAACCCTGACTTTTGCAACTCTCAAGAATGGGAACCCAAACTGGGCATGGTGGTATACACTTGTTATCTTACCACTCAAAAGGCAGAAGCAGAACAAACACCAAAAATTTAAGGCTACCTATGGTTACATAGTGAGTTCAAAACACCTATATAGTGAGACCCTGTCTCAACCAGCAAATAGACAAACAAATCCAAAGTTTGCTTGAGAAGAACACTCAGGATCAAAGGCCGACAGAGCAGACTCTGCATCTTCTCAGGCACAAAAATGGTCTCCAGAGCTTTTCCAAACTGAAAGGGTATCTTCCAGAAAGGGTCCTCAAGAATCTCAAAAAAAACTTTCCCACTCTTTACAAAGTGGCCTCTTTCTCATTGGGTCCCATTTAGCTCCAAGCTATCAACCTCCAGGTACCATACTTGCCCTAGAGAAATTCATTACTACCTCCTCTCTAGCTTGCTCCTGCTAAGCGATGAGTGATGGCAAAAGGCTTGCTGACACCAGGGTTGGTGCCGAGGGGTTCTCCCTGCGAGGATAATGTTCTCAGCATATCAAGGTGTGCCTTGGTTAAACACCTGAAGTTTTCATACTTGAGTACATCACCTGTACTAACCCAAGACTTCCTCCTTACTTGTAATTTTTGATCAACTGGAAATTATCCTCATTGCTGAGAAGGAAATTTTATTTCACCCACACACTGACTAATATTGGTGGAAATTGTCCATGAAGGAAACTTCTAGAAAAAAATCTTAAGTGATAGTCTAGTTTCCACAAGCTACAATCTCCTCAGACACTGGTGCTCACTGAGAAGGCCATATCTCAAATGTCTCCAGGGGCTCAAACAGAAGATACAGAAGCAAACCCCAAACCTACAAACATCTGATGTTTGAAAAATGGGCCAAAAGTATATGCTGGAGAAAACATAGCCCCTTAAATAAGTAGTGCTAGGAAAACTAGATATCCATGTGCAGATGAGTGAAATTAGATCCCTACCTTTCACCCTGAAAGAAAATCAAATCAAAAAGGTTCAAAGATCTACATATAAAAACAAACATTGAAGCCAGGTGTGGTGGCACATGACTATAATCCCAGCACTCGAGAGGCTGAGGCAGGAGGACTGTTGCAATTTCGGGGCAGTCTGGGATATAAAGTGAGCTCAATAGTGGCCTGAAATGCATATGGGACCCTATCTCAAAAAAAAAAAAAAAAAAAAAAAAAAAAAACAAAAACCAACTTTGAAACTGCTAAAGTAAAATATAGAGAAAACACTTGGATCCATAGGCATAGGCAAAGACTTCCTGAATAGTACCCTGATCACACAGGAAAAAAAGAGTGAAAATCAATAAATTGGACCATAGCACATTAAAAAGCACTGACAGAAAAACACTGACAGTGAGGAGACAACCTAGAGAATGGGACAGAAAATCGTGAAAAGCTACCCTTCTGAAAGAAACTAAAAAAATAGCTCCAAAAGAATAACCCACTCAGTAAATAGGCAAATAAACAGAACAGACAGCCCAAAAAAGAAGTACAAATGGTCAGTAAGTGAGTTTTAAGATGTTCCACATCTTCAGTCAATGAAGTGTGAATTGAAATGACACGGATCCTCCAGCACACTTCGTTCAGGATGGCTAATGTAACTACAAAAGAAGGGCAGATGTGGTAGTCCACGTGTTATTCTAGCACTCAGAGAGGCAGAAGCAGAAAAACTGCAAGTCTGAACCTACCCTGGACAATTCATATTTGCCCATACTTCAGGATTTATTTCAGAATCTGCCACAAAAATCATTCAATCAATAAATGAATAGAACTGCTTAATGCCGGTCTCAAAGGAGAGTTCCCTCCAGAGCAGGCGGCTGCGAAACGAGACTGCCCTCAATGCGTTCCTTTCCACACATGGCACCTTTCCTTTCTGCTCTGCCACATTGTGAGAGCACCACGGGTGATCTTGTCACGCACCAGCGCCATGCTACTGGACTTCCCAGACCCCCGGAGAACAAGCCACGTATGTAAATGCTTTTCTTTTGCACATTACTGAGAGTCAGGTATTTTGACCAGTAACATAAAACATACCAAGACAAAACAGAAAGTGGGAGCAGAGTCTGAAAATGGCGGCGAGCTAGGGGATCGAGCGAAGAATCTCTCCAGAGAATTCAAACTCAAAGCTAAAAAAAAAGACAGCATGGAGAGGACCAGACAAATCGATAGCGATTCTTATTAACCAAGACAGTACAGCTGGAGGATTTAAAGTCGTGCTGAGACCGGAGGCTGCAAATCCCGCGCCCTTAAATCAACGAACAGACTCGTGGACCCAGCACGAAAAGCTGAGTTGCTTTTGGGGACTGCGGAAACTGAGACCCAGATCGAGACTCCAGGTGGCAGCCAGTTCTGCACCACTGCACCAGAGCAGATGTACAGAGCTCTGGCGTTTCGAATCTAAACGGTGCACAGAAATCTGACCGGTCAGCGCTGAGCCGCGAGGTGGGGAAAAGTGGACGGCTTGGTGTGCGGCAGTCCCGGAGTGGGGACTTGCACCGGACTCTGGTGAGTACAGAAAACCCCGCGGCTGCTGGGTTTGACCAGAGAACAGCTGGCCCGCCACCACGGGGAAATCAATAACACAGAATCTGGTGCAGACACATTAGCCTGGCGGCAGAAACCGCAGCTTGGTAACATCACCAGGTCCCCCTGTAAGGAGCGCTGGTGGAAGACATCTTGAGTCCTGGCAGAGTCTGATTGCTTGCTGGCTTCAGCTCCGCACGGAGAACTTAGTGGGAGCCATCTTGGTTTTGGGCAGATCTGCTTTTCTAGAGCTCCTATCACAGAGAGGTTTGGAAGAGAACGGCTGGGACCTGGGCAGAATCCTGTGCCATTACCCAGCTGCTTCTGATTCAGGGAGAACTGGCAGGAGCTACTGGGGCTAGACCAGGCCTCTGCTTGGGGCCCAATGGGCGGATGCAGAATGGTCACAACTCAGTGACAACCAGAAAGTACAGCCTAATTTATGAACTAACTGACACAGAGGCTAGAGACTAGACTGTACCGCCCCTGCATCCCAGCCTACCCCAGATAACAGCAAATTGGGGAGGACAGCAAAAACTCAAGCCAGCACGCTTCTGAAAGGCCCTAAGCAATTCGGAGAGGGCCAGAGAACTCCAGGACAGTCTGAAAGAAACCAGAAACATGACAAGAGATAAAAATAAAAAAAAATCTCCAGCTGTTCAACAGGAGAAATTAAACCCAAGAGAACTAAACACTGAAGAGAACAAAAACAGTAACCATCCATTGCTCGACACAGCATCAGCCGAAATTAAAAAGTATTTACATGATCTCATAGAGGAATTTAAAGATGTACTCCTGATCCAAGTGAGGCAAGATATAAAGAGATTAATTAAAGAAATGACAAGCCCCGCCCAAGAGAACACAGATGGAAGAACTGAGGAAATCAGAAAAGAAAGAGAAGCATCTGAAGAAGAATTTAAGCATAACTTAGAATACATGAAACAGATCCAAAGAGAATATCAGGAAACTAAAAACTCCATTGAATATTGGCAAAATGCCTTGACAGAAACTAAAGACAACCTTCTGAAACTTGAAGAGAGATTTAGGGCTTATGAACGTGAAAGAAAAAGCCTCTTAAAAATAACAAGGAACCAGAAAGAAGCAATTCTAAAACTGGAAGATGATAAAAAGATGCATAACCTAAGAATAAAGAATGTGAGTGAGGAAGCAGGAACATCCAAAAATGAAATACAAAAAATATTCACAGAGATATTAAAGCAAAATTTCCCACGTATAGCAAAAAGAAATGATATCCAGATAAAAGAAGCATACAGAACGCCAGCTACCTACAACCAAAACAGATCTACGCCTAGGCATATAATAATCGAGATCCCAGAAATCCACCAAAAAAACAGAATATTAAAAGCAGCCAGAGAAAAGATGCAGGTTACCTATAACGGGAAATCTATCAAAATAACAGCAGACTTATCAACACAAACTCTTAAGTCAAGAAGGGAGTGGGGAGAAATATTCCAAGTCCTGAAGGAAAAAAATATGCAACCTAAGTTCATATATCCGTCAAAACTCTCTCTAAAAATTAATGAAGAAATAAGATACTTTCAAGACAAGGAGGAACTGTGGGAGTTCGTGGCCACCAATCCAACCCTACAGAGAGCGCTGAAGGACATTACAGAGAAAGAGAGGAAGAGATATCAGGATTACAGCTACAGTGGCAGAGAGGCCTCAGTGTACGGGGCAGACCATGGAATGAGGGAATAAGGTGGACAAATTATAGCAGAAAAGTGGAGTAGCAGACATGAGGCAGAGACGGTAAGCTAGTCTTTGGTAGAGACAGCTCTGAAACTATATTTAAAAAAAAAAAAAGCAGAGGTCATTGCTAATGGTGTATAACGATTTAAAAGACACAGTAGTCCTAGTGCCATATTTAGATTGAATTAAATTTGTTCTGGTCTGTCCACTCATATCAGATTTGAGGACACAG